TCTCTTGATACAAGAAACAGGCTGAGAAATTCAATCAGTTGTTTCGAATGTAAGTAGACTGATCCCAAGGTTGACTCTGCACATTGGCTGGCACTTGTTCAGCAAGAGCTTGGGGTTCATTTATTTTATTTATTATTTATTTTCCCAACCGCTATCCTGCATGATTGGGGTTAGTAACTAGACAAGACTGAGCTCCCCACCACTGGCAACTTTGCAAGTGAAAGTTCTTACAAATGCCAGTTTACCCTGGTTTTCAATCAATTATTATCAAACACCCCGATTTACTCTTAGAAAGACTTCCTTTCTCTTTGCCTCTCTTCTCCGATGCAATTATTTTTGAAATGACGTATCACAGTAAGCTAGGTTGTCTTCCTCATAGTCTCAGAGGATCTTGGAGCTTTCTCTCAGCGAGGTTCACTTCCTACTTCTTTGGGGAATGAAAGAGGAGATGGCAGAGGACTGTGCTTGTGCCATCCTGACACTGCTCTCTAATGCCTCCAATAAGAGCAAGTGGGCAGAGGCATAGACTAGGAGAGGCATCCCTAAGGCTCAGAGAGACTTGTAATTCATTTCTCTGCTATCATCTACACAGTCCCAAAGAACTTTCTCTAGCTAACTCTAGGAAGCCTGGGTAGAGATGAAAATGCAACTTTGAGTCAGGAGACCAGGACTGCAGCCCAGAGGCCCCCACTAACTAGCTGTCTGCAGCCCAGAGCCCCCCACTAACTAGTTGTTTGCAGCCCGGAGGCGCCCACTAACTAGTGGTCTACAGCCCAGAGGCCCCCACTAACTAGTGGTCTACAGCCCAGAGGCCCCCACTAACTAGTGGTCTAATCCTTAATAAGTTGCTTTGTCTTTCCAGGCTCATTTTCCTCATCTGTCAAGTCAAATGAAGGTTCTGGAATAGATGATCTCTAAAACCCTTCCAGCTCTACGGTTCTATTCTGGGTCTCTCTGCACCTGCAGATAGACATGTGGGGGGCAGGAAGGGCATTGGGAGGGGGAGGGATGTCGCCCAGGAAATAAAACACTGTCACCTGGAAGAGCCTATGTCCTTATGTGTGCGGCACAGCACAAATGTGTCTCAGATTATCCAAATAATTGAGTGAATTCCCTCCTTTCTTTTGCCAATGGACCACAGCCTTCGTTTGGCTGGGAACAGCAGCTGCTTCCCTGAAATTTCCATCCAGGGCTTTCCATCCTCCACTGTGTCCTCTGGGAAACCTGTCATGTTTTTTCTGGATGGATGCCCATAGAATTTTAATCCAGTCAGAGAGAGAGGGAGAGGGAGGGAGGGAGGAGGGAGGGAGGGAGGGAGGGAGAGAGAGAGAGAGAGAGAGAGAGAGAGAGAATAAGAAGAAAAGGAAAAAGGAGGAGAAGGAAGAGGGAGGAGGAGAGAGGGAAGAGATGGGGGAAGACAGACAGGCAGGGAGTAGGGGGCACAGAACTCCATACACAACAAAAAGCAAAAAGTAGTAGTATGGATCGACTTTTTGTTTAATTGGTTTATTTCAAGTGCTTGGAGCATAGATGGGCATCTGCTAACAATATTATTTGTACTGCAAACAGAGTTCTGACCAAAGCCAGTGAGTTCACATAGTTAATTGGTTCATCTAGATGATGCAGAAGACAGCCTGTGTTGGAGACCTCCAGAGTGCTACCTTGGTCCTGACATTTCTAGACATTGAATAAATCTCTACTTCGTCCCAGATAGTCCCACATCTTCCTTTCCCAAGTCAGCATTTGTAGATCCAACGCAGCAATGGTGGTGTGTCTGCCTTCAGAACTTAAGTTCCCCCAACTTTAAAAGATACAACGTCCCAACTAAGTTGTAGAAAGAGTCACCCCTTTTCCCTAACAATAAAAAAATGATTCCTGAACTCTTATCCCAGACTGTTGTCAGACAACTTTGAGATGCGGAAACTGGATTTTGTTCACTCCAAATCAGGTTGGTCAGTGCAGGACAGTGGGCTCCTGAGAAAAGCTCCTGAGATAATAAACAGCTTGACGAAAGCAGAACTTCACCTTTCCCCTGCCATCTCATGTTATTTGGAAAACACAAATGAAAACGAATGTCAGATTCTCAGAATGTTTTGGCATTAACATTAAGGGCATAGCTCTGTGTCACTTTGAGCAACTTCCATCCCTTGGGGATTCCAGAAACTCAAAGCAGGAGTGATGGGGAAGTAAATTTAGAGCCTAGAGAAATTGGTGAAGACTTGGAACACCCCTGAGGTCACAGACAGAGAGGAGTTCGAATTTTGTATTCATTGACCTGTGGCTTGGACAAGTTATTGAACCTCCATTCATTTAGCCCTAACCTGAAAAGTCGCTACATTACTGAGAAACAGAATATTTAATGTGTTTAGACACCAAATATGCTAGCGCTCAAAACAAACAAACAAACAAACAAACAAAAGCTCTCGAGAGTTCAAAATGCAGCTCTAAGAAAGTCTCTAAAAGTGGAGGGGTAGGGCCGGCTCCCCAGAAATCAGAAAGAAGTTAGCCACTTTTTTTAAAAAAGACTTCCTCCAGGCCTTGAGCACGCAGGTAGCAGGTGTGTCTGCCTACTGACCCCCCTGATGTCCTAGGAGGCTGCAGAATCAATCCTAAAGCCTAGGGGCCTGGATCCATCTAAGGTTGCTTAGTTCTGTCTGGGCTGTTGCTGGGGTCCCAGTACTACTGGGGGCGGGAAGGACTCTCATTTGCTCCTAAGCGGGAGTCTGGGTGCCCCAGGCTGGTGTTTCCTAGCCACCCACCGCCTGGTGAGTGGGTGTGTGTCTTTGGGCTGGAATTCAGGATCCGCACTCTGAGCACTGCTCCCGGCCGGGCCGGCAGAGCTCAGCAAGCAAATAAAGCGCTCAATCAGGAGCATCCGAGGCATCAGGAGTCCTTCTTCAACGACGTGGTCATTGGGGCCAAGAAGCGGGGAGGTTACAGAGGACTGGATCGCGGAGGAGGGACCCTTTTTTCTCTCCGCTTCCTTGTGTTCCTCCCAGCTGGGCAGCGACAGCGGACGTCGCTGGCAGTTGCCACCGGGTCGCCCTGGAGGTGTCCGGCCTGAGGGTTTTCTTCACAGAGGTATCTTTGGGCTCTCAGTCTGCCTCCTGGGATATTCCCTCCCCCTCAGTGGACACCATTCAACACAATCACCCTGAATATTTCCAGTCATATACTCAAAGTCCGAGGTCTGCCTTGGAACCGATCAAGCGCGGTTACCCCTAAGCGGCCGGAGGTTGCACAGGGAGGAGAGCAGTTTCCCGGTTCGGCCCGCCCCCTCCACGTTCAACAGTCCGGAGGGACCGCTGCGGTGGCCTGGAGGTGACAGCCGGGCGGTGGGGCGGGCTCAGAGCCCCTCGGAGGCCGCCACACACACTCGCTGCCCTCCCCACTCACTCCCTGCCTCCCACCTTCTCTCCAAGACCCCCGCCCCTCCCCCGCCCGCCTCCTCCCCATTCTTGGAATTGTGTGGAAAAATTCTCAGCCAAACCTCCCACCTCTCCTCTCTTCTCCTCTCCCCCCACCCCACTCCCTTTTTAAAACCCCCTTTCCTCCGCGGCCCCTGCACTCTTTGTGAATGAGGGCCGGGAATACGGCCCTTCCCCCGCCCAGGAGCCACGCCAGACCGCCGCACTCAGAGGACTGTTTCTTAATAGTCCAATTAGATAATTGCCATCTTTCACTCCTTTTGCTCCGCATTTCCCATAAAGGAATGAATGGGGAGAGCGGCGTGGAGAGGGCTTCTGCCCCGGCAAGGTGACGAGAAGGGCTGGAGCAAGCTCCTTGCACAAGGCCATGCGCTTGAATTGAATCATTGTGGCCTAATCAATGCTGTTATTGGATTACTGGCTGTTGCTTTTCTCAAAGACATTGTAGCAAGACAATGAAATAGCTGGGGGAAACTTTTTTTTTTTGAAGCAGATCTCACAGTTAAGATATTCTCTCTCTCTCTCTCTCTCTCTCTCTCTCTCTCTCTCCACCTCCCCCCCTTTCCTGCTGGACTCTGAGTACAAAGCTGCCCTTTGAATGGGCTGCCTCAGGGCTGCTGGAGGTGCAGGCATGAAAAAAAAATCCAACTGAGGCTCCAGGAAGAGGGGCGGCAGTTTAAGATGGCTGTCAGCATCGAGGTGTGTTAAGGAGTCGCTTGGGGAGAAAGCTTGGCTTTTTTGGAGTGTGTGTGTGTGGGAGACTTTAGGGGGAAACTTTTCTCCTCCCCCTTCTCTCCCCACCCAGAGGCAATTGCTTTCTTCAGCGACAAGAACTGAGGGGTACCCTCCCCCCCATTCAGCTCTATATGGAGAGCCTGGAGGAAACCCCCTTTAGCCAGTATGTGAGCAGGAAGGTCAAAGGCAAAGAGAAAGTTAATAATGCCTGCTAATGGTGCTAACAATTCAGGATGAATCTTGTCAAAAGTTTTTCTGGAAGTGTGGGTCTTTGATTGTGTTTCCCGAAAGCAAGACCAATCATTTCCGTTTATTCACTGGCTAAACCCCTACTTGATTGGGGACAAGGACAGAAACCATCCATTACGATCTGATATATTATCCAAACAATTTAGTGTATTCATGAGGTAACTGAAACGTGGGGGCTGCGAAATTACCCGTAATCAATTGCAACAGCGAGTGTGCGTCCCCCCGGGTGTCGGACAACCACAACTCGGCCGTCTCAGTAACAGGCGGAGCCGCCGCGTTTTGGAGTTGCGCTGTTCGCTACCTGATCGCCAGCCTGGGGGACACTGGACGTGCTCAGAGGACGCGGACGCTGACGAGGCGGCCTCGCCACTGCTCCACCGGGATCCTGGACCAGATCAGCCGCCTCTCTGCGAGCGCGCCACTCTCCTGTCGCCGCTGACCCTCCGCGGCCGCCGAAGCCAACCCGCGGGGACATTCATTCTCGCGGGCGAAGGAGCTTAGGGGCTGCGTTGTAGGGGTTTTGTCCCCTTCTGCCTCTTTTTTTCCCTCCCCTTCCCCCCTTTTCTTCTTTTCTGTGTTGTTTTGCCTATGTTCGGGAAACCAGACAAAATGGACGTCCGGTGCCACTCGGACACGGAGGCCGCCAGGGTCTCGAAGACCGCGCACAAGGAGAGCCGGGAGATCAAGGGCGCCGAGGGGAGCCTTCCGGCGGCCTTCCTCAAGGAGCCGCAGGGCGCCTTTTCGGCGTCTGGCGCTTCGGAAGATTGTAACAAAAGTAAATCCAATTCCTCCGCAGACCCGGATTACTGTCGCCGGATCCTAGTCCGAGGTAGGGATGGGCAGGGCTTTGGGGCGCGTTTTTTTGGGGTGATTCCCTTGCCGCAGCTGCGCGCTACCGCCCAGGGCTGGCGAGGACTTGGGAGAAAGTTGTTGCTGGTCTTCTTTCTCGGGTCTGGCCGGTCGCAGGGGACCCGAGCCTGGGGCTCCCCTGAACGCGTTCTCCTGGGGCCTCTGCCCTAGCAGCCCTGAGGGGCCCCGCCAGCCCAGCTCCGGAGAGAAACCCAGGCGCTGCGAGGAGTGGGCAGGCCACCAAGCTGGGTTTTGGACCCCAGTCCTCAGGGGGACGTGAACGCGTCCTCCGGGATAAGGACCCACCCGGGTAGGCGCCTCCGGGCTTCTGAGCCCTGAAAGGCAGAGCGCACCCAAAAGAACCCTGGGCGTAGAAGCGCAGCCTTCGCCCGCAGAATAGCGCCCGGCCAGTTGGCAGACTGGGCTGAGGGCCCTGGCGCTGAGCTCCCGGCCTGGCCGAGGCCGCCTAGAAGACCCGCCGAGCTGGGTCGTGGGGCTGCGGATGCCGCCTTCTTGTTGGATTCGGCCTCGCTCAAGGAGCGGCGTGCGCTCCTCCCAGGCAGTAGCGGCGCCGAGGCCGCCTTCAGCCGGCGCCGCCCCCGCCAGCCGACAGCCCAGCAGATAGCCAGGCCCCGCAAGCGGGTTTTCGGTCCCTCCTCCTGCTGCCGCCTGGGTAGGAGCCGGCCAGAGACCCTGGGTGGGGGTGGGGATCGCAGAAGTGCAGGCTGCTCAGCAGTCTGGGGCCATGCTGGGGTTGGGGTGATCAGTTACGGCCCCCTCTGGGCTACTGGGGACTCGGATCACGCAGCAGAGGCCCCCTAGGCCAGAAGGAACATCCACCTATTTAGAACTCAGTTCCCCCCTTCAGTGTTTGGGGTCTTCTGCCAAGACAAAGTCTGGTTACTCTTCCATTTAATGCTATGAAGTGAGCCCCTTTGGTCTCCATACAGCCACGGGGGCTCGGCTTCACGGCTGCGACCACCCCTACACCCGCCGCATCCTATTGGAGACTTGTCCCTAGCTTGCTCGGGGCAAAGAGGAGGAGAAAATTGGAAGGTTCTGGTGGCTGACATGTACCCTTCCCTAGATGCCAAGGGGTCTATCCGAGAAATCATCCTGCCCAAGGGCTTGGACCTGGACCGGCCCAAGAGGACACGCACGTCCTTCACGGCGGAGCAGCTCTACCGGCTGGAGATGGAGTTCCAGCGTTGCCAATATGTGGTGGGCCGGGAGAGAACCGAGCTGGCTCGGCAGCTCAATCTTTCCGAGACCCAGGTACCCACCTGCCGGGATGCTCACAGCATCAGGCTTCCTCTTCCCAGCACCCCAGCCTGCCTTTCCTCACTGTTTACCTTGCTTTGGATCGAACCTCCCAGGGACATGGAGGAGTTGGGGTGGACAGGATGAATCTGAGACTTTCTCCTCTTTTTAAAACTGTCACTTCCTTTCCTCATCCGCAAGTCCTCCATGGTCTAATTTCCGCACACCTTGACTTGGCCCAGGGGAACCCATATTCCGTCCTTTTGGAATTCTTATTGGCTCTCAGTCTTTAGAATTTTTGGATGAATTCTGATTTATCAAGAGCTGATCAGACCCCCTCCCGCGCACCACCGTTTGAATATATACCATCTTGAATATATACTGGGAATATATTCCCAGTAACATCCCGTTTGGGGACTTTTAGGATTACCCAACACACCAGTTCTGCAGGAAGAAGAATTAGAAAGCGGTGCCAACTCTCTAAGACCGGCCTTTGCAAATATGGCAGCCCCTATTCCTTTAAAAAGGCAGCCCTGAGCACCACTCTGGGAACCTCAGAGGTACTGTCCTCTGTGATGACAGACAGAGTGTAGGATCCTCAGTGGGGCTGGTGACTTGGGAGCCAGCACTGCACATTGCTAAGATTCTCTCCTTGCCTTAAAGTGCCAGGCTGCTCTGGAACTGTGCGGGCTGTTTGGGGGTTGACCACAGTGTACCAACAGCTCCTCAGCTCTCTCTCTGGTCTCTTTTCCTATGCCCAGCCCTGAAGCAAGTGGAGAGCATTTTAGGCCTAAAATCCTGGCTGAATACTGAGAACCGAAGATAGGATAGGTGGGGAAAATCTGAGTTTGAGACGGCATAGTAACGTGTTTTACTGTCTGTGTTAATCCCCTTTAGCTTGCAAAATCTAAATAGGATGTTTATTTATTTTTCCAATATAGCCACTGCCCTCTATTCTAGGTCAGAAGAGATGGAAGGGGAACCGGGCATTGGCATGTATTTATTCTACATCAGGCTTCTAAGTCTCCATGACTTCAAAGTCCTCAATAGAGTGCAGAGGAAGTGATAGCTATAAGAGTATCATTAAGGTGGAGAAAGCTTGGCCTATGAAGTCCACCCGGCTTCCACCCACCTTCTCTCTCTAAGGCTGGTTGGTGGTCAGTCTTTGGCCTAACAAGCAAGAAACAACCCCTGAGAGTCTCTAAAAGGCACAGATAGATTTTCTGTGGCCAAATTTGAACTCATTGGTCTATCGACCTGGATCTAGAAAGGCTGAAAAACAGTGTTCCCAGCCACCTCTGCTTCCTGCACAACCTTCCCAGGCCTTAGGATTTCAAGCTGTGCTGATTCACCGGTTTGTGAACACAAAACACCTCCGAGAGTATAGCAGCAGCACAGTGAAATATCTGTCTTCCTTCCTTGTTAGTGTGGTGGACGGACAGTTCATTTCTTTGCTTTTGTGACCCTCTCTGACCTAGGCCTGCTTGCGTGACCCGGAAGCTTAGCCCAGTGGAATAGTGTCCCCCTCGTGGTGGCTCTTGCTCCGCTAGCAGCTTTGGAGCCTTGATCCTCTGCTGTGGGGTGGGGCTGCGGCTAGGGCTGGGGTTAGGGGAGGGTCCCAATAACCCAGGTACCCCCAACCCCTCCCCCCCCCAAAAAACCCCTGCTGCCTTTGACTCTGCTCTTTCCTGCTGCTCTCTTCCACGTTTCCTCCTGCATATCTATGCTCAGGTGAAGGTCTGGTTCCAGAATCGGCGAACCAAGCAGAAGAAGGACCAGGGCAAGGACTCCGAGCTGCGCTCCGTGGTGTCAGAGACCGCTGCCACGTGCAGTGTGCTGCGGCTGTTGGAACAGGGTCGCCTGCTGTCGCCGCCCGGCTTGCCTGCCCTGCTGCCGCCCTGTGCCACCAGCGCTCTCGGCTCGGCTTTGCGCGGGCCCAGCCTCCCAGCTCTGAGTGCTGGCGCTGCAGCGGGCTCGGCCGCCGCCGCCGCTACTGCCCCGGGCCCCGCAGGCGCTGCGTCTCAGCACCCGCCAGCCGTGGGCGGTGCTCCCGGCCCAGGGCCTGCAGGGCCGGGGGGACTGCATGCGGGAGCACCCGCTGCCAGCCACGGTCTCTTCAGCCTGCCAGTGCCGTCGCTTCTAGGCTCTGTTGCCAGCCGCCTGTCCTCCGCCCCGTTGACGATGGCTGGTTCGCTAGCTGGGAATTTGCAAGAACTTTCTGCCCGGTACCTGAGCTCCTCGGCCTTCGAGCCTTACTCCCGGACCAACAATAAAGAAGGGGCCGAGAAAAAAGCGCTGGACTGATGTTAAGTGTTACCCTGTATTTATATTTATAACATCTATTGTGGTGGTATTTATGGACTCACAAGCGCATTAGGCGCCCAGTGCTCCTGTGCTGGCCTTCCTGGCCCCCACTAGGCCTCTGACTGCTCACCCGGCTCCCCCTCCCCACAGGCTACTGATTTCATCCCAACTGAGCTGTTTTTGTTCTCTCTACTTTTCCTTCCTCCCTCCAACCCCAGCTTCCTTCTGAAACCAGTAATGATCCAAAGAATTGGGGCGAAATACCCGAATTAGCAACCTGGTTCCCCCAGCCTTGCCAGCCAGGGAAGGAACAGACTGAGCCTAAGTCAACACCCCCCCCCCCCCCCGCCCCTGCTCTGGATAAGGGACGCTGCACACTGCTCCTATGAGTTTTTGCAAGATGAAGTATGTTCGCAGGCCATCAGGGACTGAGAACGCTTCTTGGTTTCTTTAGACCCCCCCCCCCCCCCCAAAAAAAGGGCCTATCCCCTCTTGTCAAAGAAACCAAGGCTTTTGGGAGTTCCTGGCCCGGGTTTTTAGACCTCAGGATAATTGGTGCAAACTCCTGTCCGAAGAGTTGATGAGTTTTTTCCCTTTAAGGAAGCTCTAATCGCTATCTGCTCGACCCCGAGAAACGATAAATCAAATGTCTTGCTAGGCAAAGGAGATAATAAATTTGATATAACAGCAATAAAACAAGGGTAATTGTTACATAACACCAGATGAAGTGTTATCTGTTTTTAAACACTCATAAATTGTTGAGTTTGCAAAGTATAAGAAATTCGGGCTAGAGACCGCACCACGGGGCAGTGCAAAATTAAAATCCAGAGTGCTGTGACTTTAGCTAGGAACTTAAAGAGGAAAGGCCAGTGATGCCTAGAAGATTCAAAGCAAGATTCAGGATCTTATTTTCCGTGTGTGTGTGGGGGGCTGTTCAGAGCCCTGACCCATAGTTTCCTGTTCCTCCCATGAGAGCGCGGTGCCTGGTGGCAGTCCACCAGAAACGAAATTACAGCAGAAGGGCTGGGGTTGGAAGTAAATCAACACCCCAACCAACACCTGCTGCTTCGCCTTCTGAACTCTACCTACAAATGCTTTTCATGATGCAGGAAGCTCCCGGATTTCCTAGCCCTTGCCTTCCGAAGGACAGGTTGGGGTGTCCGTCGGTGTGGCCTTCACCAGTTCTAGTTCCTGGCTGCCAGTGGTTCCCTGCATGGCACACCAGACACCTCTTCCTCCTCAACCCCAGGGTGTCAGTCATTCAGAGTGAGAACCCTTACCACCACCACGTGGGCGCAGCCTCAGCCCTAACCACAACCCCAGCCCCCAGAGCCACCTCCACTGCATTTTAACCAAAACCACAGGCTCAGAGCGCGAGGTGCCTCAGTGTTGAGAATGTATTCACCCATCTGAAACAAGCGCAAAACGTTAAAGGAAAATTAGTAACTTTATTGTAAATTATTTACATGCGAAGGTTTTTCCCTTTTCTTTTTCCCATTTCTTTTCTTGTTTCACTTTTTTTTTCCTTTTTGTTCCTTTCTCTCTCTTTTTCTCTCTTTCGCTCTTAGGTAAATAGTGAAGAAAATAACGAACGATTCAAACGCGGGTAGGTGTCACTGAATCCTGGCTACTAACTGTGTTCTGGATGTCTTGGCTCTTTGGATGTTTTTGTATTTATGTGGTGAGAGTGAAAAATATATATCTATGATGATTAAGTGTATTTTTGTCCTATATTTGAAAGATAAAAAAACCCACACACACATACACGCACGCACACACGCACAGAAAAAGAGAAGGTCCAACAAATGATGAGTCTCAGGGTTAGGATGCGAGTCCCATCCCGGAAGAGCAGGGAGGAGGGGGCCCCACACCACTGACACTCTGGCGAATGAACTTTGCGGGGCAGAGGTGGGGGTGGGGCGGCATTTTGTCCCTGAGTGACCTGCCTCTGGTCCTGAGTCCTTTTTGATCTTGCCTTCTTTGTCCAAAATATAGATTTCTCAGTCTTTCTGTTCTGCACAAGTTTATGTCTAACGCTCTCCGTGTTTCTAGCGTTTTCCAGCTGCTTTAACATTGGGATTTTGTACAAACCCGCCGTCCCGGACAAGCAGGATTTTAATTAATTTCTTTTGACTTAGAAATCTCTTGGCCCTTAAACAGAAACCTTGAAAGCGAAAGAACACAAACTAGATATCAATCCCTGGGTGTGTGTGGGCGAGGGACTCTTCCTCCCGCTCATAAGGCTCATAAGACGGAGACTGTGGCCCATGACAGAGGCCTTGGTCTGGACTTGGGGATGGTTGGAGTGGTCCCGGAAGATGCTGGCAGTGGACATGACCGCTTCAAAAACTCAAGCAGTGGACATAACGGAGGGTCCACAGGGTGGCATCCCCACAAGTCGGTGTTGCTGGTGCAGAGATCAGTTTCCAGTCGGTCGTTGAACCCCAATTCGTAGGCTATGCTTGCACTCCCCAGGGGAAGAATCCAAGACAGGGAGGGGTGTCAGTGTGCACAGCAGTTCCTTGAAATGCTGGGGAGGACCGGGTGTGTGTGGGGCAGATGTCTCAGGCTCTGGGTTCTGCTGACGTCAGAGCAGCAGCCCACACAGAGTTCACTTTTTTGCTTTTCAAAGTCGGTCTCACACCGACTTCTCTGTCCTCCCTCCCTCCCTCCCTTCCTCCCTCCCTCCCTTCCTCCCTCCCTCCCTCCCTCCCTTTCTTTCCCCCTCCCTCTCTCCTCTCTTCCTTCCTATTCCCCTCCCTCTCTCCCTCTCCCTCTCCTTGATTCCATCTCTCCCCTACCCTGGCTGCCCCGAAGCCAAGACTGTAGGTGGCTCTGTCTTCTCTGTCAAAGCTGGTGGCTGGGGACCTCCTGGGATAAGAAAAGGAGGGAGAAGGTGGCACAATCTTATGGAACAAAAGAAAACACAGAATCCCAGCTTTTGGTCCCCAACAAGCTTGGTCCCACTGCAGTAGAGGCCGGAAAGCTTTCTTCCCAGCTCCCCCCCACTTCCCACTTTGCTTTCTTCACCCCAGAAGGGAAAGTACCCCCACCCCTGCCTCTCCAGGTCACCTCCCTTCCCTCTTTGGCTCTGAGTGAAGCAACTAAGCTTGGCGCCTGCCACTTAGGGAGCACAATTGTTCTTAAGGGGCCTCTTCTCCCATGAAAATGAATCACAATTTTAATTAAAAACACGTTTGCAGACAATCCATTTAATTTTAGTGGCTGTCTTGTTTTCCCTCTTTCTGCAAGCTGCCTTACTTTCTGGAGGCCTCTGGAACTGGAGACTCACAGGCCAGGGATGAGGCAGGTGGCTTTGGTGACAACAGCTGGCTCCACTTGGGAGAAGGTGGGAGGGCTCTTGGGAGGATAGGAACAGCTGGGGTGGGGGCTGCTAAGAGGACTGTCATTCTCAGGCCCCACAAAGTGTTGTCCTCCTCTGCGGTAGAGCAGAAATCCTCCAACCCCCTGTGGCTTTGCTGGTCAGGTCTGGTAAGTCTCTTAGGAAGCCCACTCTTTATCGGTGGGCCTAACTCCCAGTCAGATGTGGGGCTCCTCTCTAGGAGTGTCAGCCACTCTTTAGGGCTTACAAATAGGGGTGTAGAAATACACACACTCACTTACATACACACACACTCACTCAAACACACTCACATACACACACACTCACACACACATGCTCATACACACACTCACACACTCACACATTCACACACACTCACACACACTCACACACTCCTGACTTGTTTCAAGTGAAACCCCATTTCCTTGTTTCTTTTCCTGCTTAGATACATGCAGACACTCTGCCTTTCTCCTGGTTGGTTATTGCTGTGTTGTCTGCCCACTCTAAGAAGTCTTTCCAAGGTTCTCTGAAGAGATTTCCAAGGCACATACTTCTAACTTCCTGACATCCACAGCTGATCAGAACTTAAACCCTTGACTAGCTCAAAGTCTTCCAAGATACAACTTCAATGCTATCTGGGTCAGCCTCCCATAGCAACAATTCCTTAGCTCTTCCCCTATTTGAGGAATCAGAAGTTTAGGGGTTGTGCTTTGCTTGTGTGTGTGTTGCACATGGAGGGCAGAGAAAAATGTTGAGTCTCCTTCTCTCTCACTTTCCACCTACTTCTTAAGACAGAATCTCTCCCTGTACTTGGAGCTTATGGATTCAACACATTAGAAGGCGAGGGTGCCCCAGAGCACCAGAGACCCTTTTGTCTCTGTCCCTGAAGTGCTAGGCTTACAGGTGCCTGCCACCACATTAAGGTTTTTAAATGGGCACTGGGGATTCAAACTGAGGTCCTTATGTTTGTGTGCCAAGCACTTTGCCTCTGAGCCATCTCCTTAGCCCCAGGTTGTGTATCCTAAACAAGTTTCCACAAAGGTCCTTCTCTCACTAACATTTGAGAGGCACTGTGTTACCTGACAGCCTACCCACTACAACAGTCTCCACATGTGACCCAGGGACTGAGCTGCTGGAAATGCAGTGAATGTTTGGTAAACAAAGTAACCCCCCCTTTCTGACCCAGTGTAGGGTTTCTTGGACTATACATTGTAATTTAATGCCCTTTTTATACAGGGAAATCCTTACATTTCACATCATTTTTTAATTAAATATGTATCAGGTTGTTGGATCAGAGAAGAAAGAGGAATCTTGTCTGGGTTCTAAGCTCTCTGTGAGGGCCTTTTTGTAAACTCAGTTTGGACCACCTTGCTGAACACATCCCTGCTGTCTTTCAAGCCTGGTGATTAAGAAAGAACAGGACAGGAGCCCATTAGGTCTGCTGAACTTATGTGCTTGTTGGGGAGACACCAGAGTGGGGGGCGCCACCAGAATAGAAACCCCAATGAGGCACATTGGCTTATACCCCGTTTCTGATGTGAAGTCCCCTGAGATGTTATCATGCATACACCGCAAAGCCTCTAGCACTGAATTCCATTCCAGCCGTTCCTTTTCCCCAGAACACAGAAATTATTGTGCTGACCATAGCAGTATTTAC